TTTATTAGTATATGAAATCACCTTATTCCCATTTCACTTTCCCCTGTTCATCGCAGCCCACACATATGCTCAAGGAGTGCATTGCTGGTGCAGTTTGCAGCTCCTCTCCCATCAATAGAATAAGAAAGGATAAAGAGAGACCAGAATTGAGACATCGACAGAAAAGTAGGGAGGTCTTAGCCAGAGAAGGCAACTCAATCAAAATGATAAAGGACTAGGTGGACATGGCAAGGCGGGGGGAGGGAGAGAGGAATAATATCATAGAGAGATTAGAGGAAGAGTTGGAGGATTTGACATATGAGAAGCTCTGGGACAGCTGTGAGGTGGCAAAAGCTGGAGAGTGCAGGAGGGTATGTGAAAAGTGTTTCTGGCTTATAAATTCATCTCTTTAAAGTTCATCCACAAATGCAAGTGAAGAATAGCTTTCTTTCTATTTATTTTAAAAATCTATTTTTTAAAATTACCTTTTATTGCCAGACTCTGCTTCTTTATAAACAATTCACTACAGAAATGGAACCAGGAGTTGATTCAGATTCTTTAGGCCTGATCCCTCTCCTGCATTATTGAACATTCTAGCTGGATGTTCCTTGGAGTTCCTTAATATGAACATCCCCCAAATTATAGATATTGTTTCACCTAAAGCTTGTTCCCCTTTCAATAGCACCATTTTATTGAATGGTTACCTAGATAACAAATATTTAGAATTTGGTATGCATGTGCCATGGTTTTCTCCAGACAATTTCCAAAATAAAAGGGGGGCGGGGGGCTATTGTTTCTTATCCTATGACCACCTTCTCAGATCATAAACTTCCTTTTTGCTTTCCTTAGTCACCCAAAGGAATACAAAAGCAGTTTTGGAATTCCTGCCAATGATGTATTTTCATTATACAAACTAGTATAATGAAACTATTAACTAGTGTGTGACAAGCAAGGATGAATAGATGACGGCCCTAGCCTTGACGCGCTCAAATACTAATGAGTGAGGTGGAGATATAACCACTCATTAAAACAATGCAGTTAGTGCAGAAATGGAGATAGAGGGAAGGGACCATGTACCCACAAAAGAGGACACAACGGGCTCTGCCTGTGCAATCAGGGAAAGCTTCTGAGAGGAGTGGAGTCTGCCAGGAAAAGGAGGGGTTTCCAGCAGACAAAGTGGAGGGAGGAATAAGGGCATTTTTGGCAAAAGGAAGAGCGTATAGCAAGAAGTAGAGGAGAAAAGAACATGGCTTTATAAGAAACCTGCCTTAAAAGTGGATGGGGGTTGTGCTGATATGTTGCTGCAACAGGCTACATAATAACCTTAGAGGGTAGTTGGGTAATATTTCAGAATGCCTGTATGCATTCCATGCAAAGGGATTAAAATTTGTATCCTGTAAGTGATGGGGAGGGGAGGTACTGAGAAATTTTATCAGGGCAGAGTGACATGCTCAACTCTTCATTTCAGGTACATACTTCTAGTGGTCCTGGCTAAGAAGAAAAGCTGGAGGCAGGAGGAAGTATTGCAGTCACATAGGGAAAGCCAAGCAATTTCTGTCATTAAGACAATAGCAGAGTAATAGAGGAGGGCGGTGGTCAAAGAGATAATCTGGTGGTGGGAATGAAAGGATGAGGAACTTTAAATCAGACATAGGGTAACAGAGATAATGGTGCTGATATTATTCTGATATTTCTGCTGTGGGCAACTGGGTTATATGATGATACAGAGAGGGGAACAAGCTTCAGATGAAACAATATCTATATTTGGGGGAATGTTCATATTAAGGAACATCCAGCTAGAATGTTCCATAATGCAGGAGAGAGAACAGGCCAAGATGATTTCTCTTTATTACCACCGCCTCTTCTATCAGGTAGATGTAAGAAATACAAGGTATCAATGCCCACAAACAGGGCCATTGATGACTATTAGATTTTACAGGTCTTTGTTTTATGCATTGATGAAATGTACTTAGGATAGGTTCATATTTAGTTACTGATGGCATGAACTATTAATGGTGAAATGCAATTTTATCTCCTAAGAAATGAACTCTCTGCAGACAGCATGAATGCTTACCACACTTGTGTTAAGAGCTCTGACCTGGATTAAATCTACTCTCTTAACCAATCTATACCCCCACCTCTCAAGAAAAACAGGCTATTGGGATCACTTGAAAACAATGAGGTTAATGACAGGAAGAGAAAGATCTTAAAATCTAGTTTTCACTTCCCAGCAATGGTCAAGTTAACCTACTGAGAGTTTTGTAAGGGCCAGAGATGAAGAAACAAGCAGCAGGCAGACAACTTCCTAGCGGTGTTATTGTCTGAGAGAGATTTTCCTATGTGACAGAAAAATGACTACCAACCACTCTCTGATGGCTGAGAGGAGAGTGAGAAGGGAAGGGAGAGAGGATTAAAGAGACCTATTTGAATCCAGAGTTAATGCCAGAATCCACTATCTAAAATTCACCAAAGATTTGTTTGTCTAATCTTTCTTTCCTTTTTTAAAGGATAACTACATGTTTATTTTTTAAAATATATTTTTTATTTTAGCAAGGAAGGGAAAGGGAGAGAGAGATAGAAACATCAATGATGAGAGAGACTCATTGATTGGCTGCCTCCTGCATGACCCACACTGGGGATTGAGCCCGCAACCTGGGTATGTGCCCTTGATCAGAATCAAACCTAGGACCCTTCAGTCTGCAGGCCAACGCTCTAGCCACTGAGCTAAACCAGCTAGGGCTATTTCTCTAATCTTTCCAACCGTTAATAATTGTGCTTCTCATTTTTCTTAGACTTGGTATCACATATACATATTTAAACTTTTGTATAACAGCTTCTGATAACCCTTGGCACCAAGATTCCTGATTTAGAAGTAATTCATGTCTGATTTTCATAGGGTTGCCGGAGGCTGTGGGAATCCATATCTAATCCTTTCCCACTACCTCGACTCTATTTGCTGGTGTTTCAAAAGCAGTTCCTCACTGTTAATCTTAAAACAATTCATTTGTAATTTTCTAATGTTAGTGAGTTGTCACCAGGGTCCTTTTTGATAAAAGATTTCCAGGAAGAAATAAAGAAACAACATTCATGGGACATCAAAGGAAAACAAAGGGTGTCCTAGGACTATCTCAGCACATTTCATAGAAATTCAATTCTTCTGGGTTAATGTGCCATCGTCCCCAAGGTGGTTTGGGAGGACTTACTTGGTGACTTACCTGATAATCTCGTTATCTTGCATCAGCCCTGGATTTCCACCATTTCCTGTTAGTTGACTTGCTGGAATGTTTAAGGTGAGACTGGATTTAAACAGTGGAGTTTGGGGGATTAACTCTGTTGCTGGGGAAAATGAACTTTCCAGCCCAGCTGGTGTGGCTCAGTGGTTTGCACCGAGAGGGCACCCATTTGATCCCCAGCAGGGAGTGTGCAGGAGGCAGCCAGTTGATGCTGATGTTTCTATCTCCCTCTCCTTTTCTCTCTCTCTAAAAATCAGTTAAAAAATATATTTTTAAAAATTAACTTTCCAGGCACTGATTCCTAAGGAGAGATTTTTGAGCAGAGCAACCTGGACACTGGAACCCCAACCCCCATCCCCACCCCCACCCATCCCCATCCCCAGCCTGTGGTTAAACTGTAGCTTCTGCAAAACACCTATGTGGTTTTTGGAAGAGAATGACTTGCAAGCTGAACAAATTGCCACCAAGAGCATCAGGGTGTAGTCGTGAATATACTAATGGTGGGGAATCCACAAACCAAGTACTGGTCCTGGTTTGGCTGCTGACTATAGACGTCACTTGCCTTTTCTGAGCTTCATCTTTCTCTAAAAGTAATAAGAGCTAATATGTGCCGAATGCGAATACTTCCTCTGTTTCAGGAATTACTACATTGTTTTTGTGTACCATCTCCTTTTATCCTCAAATATCTGCTGTGGGGTGTGACAAAATGTGATTTCCCTTTTGCAGGTGAGGAAATCGAGGCAAGTAGAATTGAAATAATTTGCCCAAGTTCATGCAGTCAGTAATGACAGCTTTGGATTCAAATCCTGATGGATGAACAGACTTCCTGCAGTCTCTACTCTTGTCCATAACACTGCACCACCTTCTAAAGTGACAGGAAGGACTCTGCTGGTCCTTTCAGTTCTACCGGTGTGTGTGTGTGTGTGTGTGTGTGTGTGTGTGTGCGCGCGCGCGCGGGCACACTCGGGGAGAGGGGGGTGGGGGGTGTGCAGGAGAGAGCTCTCTTTCTGGGCCAGGACTATATAGCACCTATGACCCCCTCCTTCCTTCCCACCATCAAGTATCTTAGGAACATGTGTTCATTGTTAGGCTACAGGTAGCATTGCAGGACTTGGTTTAGCTCCAAAGCCCCACAAGGAATACTTATCAGGGCCATTCTTTCCTGAGTATATGGGTTAAGCAAGACTTCAGTGGTAGTGGGGCCTTGGGGAAATTGGGCGTTGGATATTGGCAACAGAGAAAAATGCTGCAGCAATGTGCTGCAAGCATCCCGCCAGCTCATGTGAAGGGGACTACAGCGAATGAGAAGGACCCATTGAGGCCGGGGCTGGATCTCAGGGCCAGAACCCGGCCAGGGGCTGTTGACCCTCCTTAAAGAACAGCTGCAGCTGCAGCACCAACAGCCAGGAAAACAAGCCAAGTTCAGGCTAAGAAAGCAGACTGTGTGCCGGCCTGGGGGTCCGCAGATGAGGCAGTTGCTGAAGGCGGTTGTGGAGATGAGGGTGAGGAAACAAAAGGGATAAGAAGGAGCAGAGCACCAAAGGGGCTGGGAACAAAGAGGTAAAGGGGGATTCTTCTAGTCACAGAGTGTCAGGAGCCCAGGAAAAGGCGAGACCCCTAGAGAGCCCTGAAATGGAGTGAGAGGGGAAGAAGAAAGCAGCTCACAGCTACCCAGAGGAGGAGGAAGTGGGAGATGTGCTGCTTCCTGTAGAAAAAGCGATGACTGAAGACAAAGCTGGGTGGGGACTAGTCCCTGGGCTGCAGGCGCCGCTGCTACACATACACACGCAGCCGCCACTCCGTGGGCAGCTCCTACTACTGCCGCTGGGCTGGGCTGGGCTGGGCTGGGCTGGGCGGGCTGCGCGGAGCTCGCTGCTCACATCGGCGGAGAGAGGAGAGAAGCCACTCTTCTCTGACCACCTCGCAGCCAAGGTAAAAGAAAAGCTTCTCATGTGGCTCCTTTTGAAACGAGTAACAGGACCGGCGCCTGTGGTTTTAAGGGCAGATTTCTTAGGGCAGACGAGACATTGTTTCAGGACTGGGGGAAATGATTAGGATGGGTTCTTTTAGAAGGGCTTTTTTTGAATGACCACATTTGCCATTTTTTTTTTTTTTATGCAAAGATTATTAGTGCTTCGCTTCGGTGACTGGTCAAGAAAACACAGTAAATGAAAGAAGCTGTTTGCATAGTTCTCTTGGAAGCGAAGCAGGGCTGGTTGGAAATCGGTTGGAGCTGTGGGGCTGTGCGCTGATCTTCTGAGCGTCGCAGTCCTGCCTTAGGGGTGTAAGTGGTGTAAAATGTTAATTGCATTATCTTTCCTACACATTGCGCTGGCGTATCTTTTGTTTTGCAGCATAATGACTGTGATTTGGCTTTTTGGGGGGATGGGGTTTAGATCCTTTGGTACTCAGAATTTGCCAACAAAGGCGGTGGGATTGCGTATGTGAGGGACAGTATTTACCATTAAGAAAAAGAGAAAAAAAAAAAAAAGCGTGTCTTCCTTCTGCTCGGTCTCGCTGCTTTCAGGATAACCTCAGAAACAGCTACCATTTGCCAGTAGGTCTCATCCTAAAGTTGCATCCTTTCTCGGGGGAGTGTGGCAGGTTTAACTTGCCCCAAATGTATACGTGGATTTTATGTTTCTATGGATTTTTTTTTAAATCTCTAGGTGAAGATACATATTAATTTCAGTGAGAGATTAAATGTCTACGTGTTTCTGAGTTGTTTCCTTACCTGCATACAGACTGAGATAGTAAGATCAGAACGCAATTTTTATTCTTTGGTTTTCTTGAGTAACGGATGCTCTTAATGAGAGTCTGTGATCATGACTTGTTCACATATTTATGAATGATATGTAAACGTGCAGTAACTAGGTCTATGGGATAAGAAATGAGATTGTGATTCTGTTTGCATCATATGTTGGAGAAAGTGTAGCTGGTTTTAAAAATTATGCTTTGTCTCCAAAAGCAAGTGCAGTTAAGCAATAAATGGTCATTGATAAAAGGTTTTTCTTGAATTATTAGAATGAAAGAAGACACGTATTCAAAGGAAAGAAAGAACTGCTTATAGTAGAGTAAAAATAATATAAAGGTCACATTTACACACTAAGAAATTCTTAAAATATAGGTTTTTAAACACTAAATAAGTCATTGAGAGTGTATATGCCTTCCCATTTATCACCATTCTCAATTAGGAGGAGCTATAGGGTTTTTTAAAATGCCATTTTAGGAAATGGATTTGGCTTCCCAAGATTTGTGGTGTAACAGCACATTTTTGAGAGAGAAGGAAAAATATCTACTTTTCTGAGGTTCCTCATTACATGAAACCTGTGCGATATCTAAGAGGCAAAATATTGCTGCTGTTAAAACCACGTAGCTCCCTGATTCACTGCATTGAATCAAAACAAGTCACGCCGCGCTTTCTGCAGTTCCACTTCCCATTTGCCTCCTATGGCAAACAGAGAGATATCTGCCGGAGAGGGGATCTAGGCTGGGCCTGGGGTCCAGAAGACCCCACCCGGAGAGCTCTGATCAAGCCGCCTGCCAATAAGTGAAGTCGTGGATGAAAGAATAAGTGCCTCACCCTCGGGTACTTACTCATCTATAGGCTGTATTCACTAGATCATGCCAACACTGCTTTGTTTGGGGTGTGTAGACAATCTGCGTTCCTCTTCTTTGGGTGTTTCACACAAAAGTAAGAAAATAAAACCTTGTTCCATAGGCACTGGCGAGTCTAGGGAGCCCCCTGCTCTCTTTCAGAAAACGAAGAGGTGCCTGTTTTCTGCACAGCACACATTCCCTTCATTGTTAAATTCCAGCTTGAAGCACAACAATAGTGAGTAACAGCAGATCAGTAATTATAATGGTAGACGGTTTAGGGGCAAAAGATGAAAACGCTCCTACGCTGTTCAAATGAGACTGTTTCCACTTATTCTGGCCATATGGACTCTTGAAAGACATAATGCAAAAGCCCAGGGTACTCAGTGGCTTTTGAGGGAGTCGCCCAACACTGAAATTTTAATTGAATGTGTGGTGTGGTTTTTTTCTGCCATATGGCCAATGGCTGGGAGGAAACATGACTCTTACTTCATAGCCAGCCCTGGGCCTCATATGGTAGGCACGCAGTGAATGTATTTGGTTGACTGACTTTTTTAGCTTACTTCTGAAGGCAGGCCCAACTTTTCAGTATAAAACCTCTATGGTCAAAGCAGAAAGCCTGTTCAAAAAGACAGTTGTGGGCAGAAGAATATAACGTCATGAACTGAAAGGAATGCAGGCTTCCAGAGGTGGCAGATCTGCCTTTGAATCCTACCACTGGTTTTCACTACTTGACCTGGTATGTTAACTTACGAACCTTAGTTTCTTCATCGTAACGAGGGGTTAATCGTACCTAATCCAGGTGGTGGGGTTTTCTGTTTGGTTTCATTGATTTTTTTTTTTATATATATTTTATTGATTTTCTAGAGAGAGGGAGGGAGAGAGATAGAGAGTTAGAAACATCGATGAGAGAGAAACATCGATCAGCTGCCTCCTGCACATCTCCCACTGGGGATGTGCCCGCAACCAAGGTACATGCCCTTGACCGGAATCGAACCTGCGACCTTTCAGTCCGCAGGCTGACGCCCTATCCACTGAGCCAAACCGGTTTCGGCTGATTTTTATTTTGTTTTTGCTTTTGTTGTGGATATGTGAGTGCCTGGGACATGGTAGGTGTTCAGATGGCGTTTTTTTTCTCCCTAAGTGGCATAAGGGAAAGTTAGCATATGCTTGATCTTTGTCACTACCACAAAGGTTCTAGGAGACTTTTTTTTATTGTATAAAATATATATATATATTATGAAATTTCCCATTTTAACTATTTTTTAAATATATTTTTATTGATTTCAGAGAGGAGGGGAAAGGGAGAGAGAGAGAGAGAGAGAGAGAGAGAGAGAGAGAGAGAGAGAGAAAACATCAATGAATAGAGAGAATCATCAATCGGCTGCCTCCTGCACACCACCCACTGGGGATCAAGCCCCACAACCCGGGTATGTACCCTTGACTGGAATCGAACCCAGGACCCTTCAGTCTGCATTCTGACGCTCTATCCACTGAGCCAAACCAGCTACGGCCCTTTTAACTATTTTTAAGTGTATTATTCTATGACATTAAGTATATTGATATTGTTCAACCACCACCACCAATTTCTAGATCCACTACATCTTCTCATATTGAAACTCTGTTACTATTAAACAGTAGCTCCCCAATCCCTCCCTGCCCCACCACCCCAGCCCCTGGCAACCACCATTCTGTTTTCTGTCTCTATGATTTTGACTATTCTAGAAACCTCATATAAGTGGAGTCATACAGTATTTGTCTTTTTGTGACTAGCTTAATTCACTTAGCACTTGTCTTCAGGGTTCATCTATGTTATAGCATGTATCAGAATTTCCTTCCTCTTTAGGCTGGATATATTCCATTGTATGTATATACCATATTTTATTTATGGATTTAATGGACTGGGTTGCTTCCATGTTTTAGCTATTGTGAATAATGCTGCTATGAACATGGGTGTGCAAATATGTGTTCGAGTCGCTGCTTTCATCTCGTTTTGGGTACTCAGAAGTGGAATTGTTGGATCATATGTTAACTCTATGTTTAATTTTTTTTTTTTTTTTTTGAGGAGGAACTACCATACTGTTTTCCATAGCAGTTGCCTGCATGATTTAACATTCCCACTAGCTTTAACATTCCCACTAGCAGTGTAAAAGGGTTCCCTTTTCTCTACATCCTCAGCAACACTTGTTATTTTCTGAAGGTTTTGTTTATTTGTTTGTTGGTTTGTTTTTGATAGTAGCTATCCTAATAGGTGTGAATTGATCTTAGTGGTTTCAATTTGCATTTCCTCAGGATTAGTAACTTTGAGTCTCTTTTCATGCGCTCATTGGCCATTTATATATAGTCTTTGAAGAAATGTTTATTCAAGTCCTTTGCCCATTTTTCCCTTGGATTGTTTTGGAAGAGACATTTTTAAATGGTGGGATCTCTTAACATAGTGTGTCATAAAGATATGACTATAACGCTTGTATTTAATCTTCTGCATACATCAGTATTATTCCTGCCCAAGTAAAATACTTCTCTCAGAAATAACTCTATAGAGAAGAGCTGTAGTAAACAACAATAGGTTTCTGAGACAACAGGTTTCTACTAATAAAATGTGATTTTCATCTAAATTTCTTGTTCAAAAATAAAGACTCTTTCTGTGTTTAATTTCCCACTACACATTTTACTCCTGATGCCCAAACTAGTGAAGTAGGGTATACATGGGGCCAAGGAGAGCTGGGCAAGAAGATTAGGGAAGACTCAATTAACAAGGACACTATCTGAGCTTTATGCTGTGGTTGCAGTCACTGACCTTGAATGGTTTGAAGAGTTCTTCGATGATTGTATGTTAACTTTTTGTAATGCACTTTGTGTGTGTGTTTCGGGGTGGGGGATAGAGAGCTGGCAGATAATGACCCCTGAGTTTGTTTACTTCCTAAATCTATTCATTTCACAAGTTCTGGTTCTATGGATATCCAAGGAAGAGAGGAATTGCAGAGCTATATTAAGGCTTAGTCCCTGGCCTAAGACATCGGGAACAGTAGAGCTGAAAATGACTTGGGAAGCAACCTAGCCTGTATCAACCCCCCATGACTGGTAATGAAATGGGCTCAGAATTCAGTTATCTGTCCAAAGTTGCACAGTTGATTAACACCTCACCTCCCAATTCTATCTCTAGTTCACTTTCTTCCATAATAGGGCCAATAAATAGAGAAAGTGTTTATACTTTGTCATTTTTAAAATTGTTTATAAGACCAAATTATTTTGTTTAAAAAGAAGAGCACAATGTCTACATTTAATACCCTATGTAAATATAAAAAAAATTTTGTTCAAAATTGTTCAAATGTGAA